CTTTCCGAAATTCCAAAACTCCATCAAGACTAATGATTTCAAATATTTATAAAGGTGTGTTTTTTATGAGAAGGCATTGTGACATCATATTATGACATCTGGAATGCTTCGAGTTATATGAATCTATAAAAGGGGATAATTCATCTTTAGACAGGGAGGTCTTTTCATGATGAACCCCGTGTCTATCGTAGGAGGTTGTCGTTTATCACTTTATTAATATTGAAATCCATATTATTTCATGGTAGTTATATCCGGTACTTGTCGAAAGGAAGGATAGGATATTAAGGTTATTCTTTATCATCATGCTTGAGTGATGGGAGGCTGTTCTTAAAAAAAAAGTGGAGTGTTAAGACTTTGAAGGAGTACCGGGTATCGTATGAGGCTACTATATTTGTGGGAGCTGAAGATTCTTTATAAGTCTGGAATATAATATTTGGTTGAACATAGATGGATAATAAAATGTGAATAGTTTATTTTTATAGTGGTGAGTTATCCCCTTTTACGAAACCATATCTTGAGAAATATTTAATACAGAATTTAATTATTGTTTCTTAGACTACACTGTTATCTAATTAAAAGAAGTCTGAGTTTAAAGCAATACAAGGTATCGTATGGTCGTCTCCAATCCAGTCCCCAACTCGTCACTTGTAATGAATTCCGTCTGGAACATTTCCATAAACGGGTACAGATAACTCACCTCCGTAAGCCAACAACCTGTTGATAGAGAGGCCAATGTCCATTATTTTGAAAGGTCCTTGGGCATAAAAAAAAGGTGGATATGAAATATAATTTTGATGATGATGCAGTTGTGCCAAAAAAAAAAAAAGAGGTCTTGTTGTGGGTGGAGATGGCAGCTGTTTACGATGCGTTTACGACCAGGACACGCACCCGCACACGCATGGGAGGAGCGAGCCGGAAAAGGGCGGGAAAAGTACTGGGGTACTGTGGCGAGGAAATCGGAAAATCGCGTGGACCGGGGGCCGGGGGAGGAGGCCGCTTGGCAATCGTAAAACTGACACTAGTGGAGCAACCTCACCTTCTGGAACAATAGCTACAGCCACGAAAACACGCAAAACAAACGAAAGTAAACAACCAGAGATTTTTGTATAAAGTTTTTTTTTTTTTTCTTTTTTGTCCTTGGTTCTTTTTTGCGCCTCAGCTTACAAAGTCCTGATTTCTTTTATTTTTTTTTTTGTATTATTTTAAAACACACAAGGCTGAATTTATTTTATACGTTCACTGGTCGTAAAAATCAATGAAAACATTTGTCAGGACAAGCTTTTCTGGCTTGATGGCCCACCTTTTGGGGGCTACTACTGGATGCTAGATGGTGGATGGGTATATGGGGAAGGTATTCCAATGAAATGCCAGTGAAAAGTTTTTCCAGATCCAGAGAAGTTTCGCATGAAATTTGTAGCCAGTGGAGGATCCCGAGCCCGGGCAACTATAAAACTTCAAGTTTGAGTTTTCTTTGAAACTGTTTTCATTTCTTTATTTCGGCTTTTCGTCTTTTTCTTCTGCTCCTGGCCTTTTCAATAGGTCGGAAAGGAATGTGTTTGATGCAAGCCAAGTTAATTGGATTAACACTGAGGTCCTTTCCCCCTCTCTCTCTCTTTCCCTCCGTCCAAGGATGTGTGTGTTGCGAAATTCGATTTATGGTCAAAATGATTTAATTGCCAAACATGACCAACACGAAGGCTAGTTGGTAAGAAAAACAATACTGGGTCTAGAGTGTTTTTTGCTTTATTCTCGTGTCCAAAGTTCAAAGTTCAAAGAGGGCCACTACAAAAACGAAAAGTCCCCAAAATATATAAGGAAAGGAGAAGGGATATTGGGAGGGAAAACTTTGTCACGCACTTGGAAACTCATTTGAAGTGCGAAGTTGCAGAAGAAGATGCTGATGAAAGTGCAGAAGGTATTGCCGAGGTCTTGCACCTCAACCTCAACTTTTCAAATGAAAACTTCCACCAGCACTCTACAAAGTACCTGAGAGACCAGAGTACCGGTTAGTGTATAACTATACACAAGGCATGTCTATGATTTGAAATTAGAATCTGTACTTCAGATGCTAGAGTATCTGGTTTATGGTTTGATTTTCAAAGGCAAGTGGCAGTGGCACCCATTTACCACAACCCATTTATATTAAAGATACCTTAAATCCTCTTTATACGAGTTTCTACAGCAATAAGTTTATGAATTGAAATCCAAAATCCCGTGAAAGGACTAGATCTGCAATAAGGAATTGTAAAGTACCGGGTATCTTATAGTTTTTTCTTTAAAAGCGAAATAAAATAGGAAAAGGGCCACCACTTGAATAACACCTTGACGCTAGCGTCCTGGTCGTCTTTCATTACAATGTCTGTCCTTTCTTGGAGGAAGGGGAGCCAGCCATTAGCTGGACAACAAAAAGAAACTCGTTTCATGTAATTAATTAAAGCGACCCCAAAGGAAAGGTCGGCAGCGAAGGCCACCAGAGGCGGGGAACCAGCTCCATTTTGGCATTTTGTGACGACACGGCTCAAGTGCATCAAAAGTTTTGGGCGGTACGGTACGGTCGGGCTCTGGTTCGGGGCTTGGGTTTTAGGTAATTTGATCAAGTTTCCTTTTCAGTTTTTTTTAGCTTGCAGGAGGACACAACACATTTTTCCGCCTTGCCGAGCATTCGCCGTGGTGGTCGGCTAATAATTTAGTCAAGGCCAGGTAGGGCTTCCCCCGGCATATGGAAATCGGAATCCCATCAAGTTGCCATCGACTCTCCGGCTCTGCTGGCATTTCTTCGGGGCTAAACACACCAAATAAAATTAGCTCAATGAGCATTTGTGCAATCAAGTGATTTTTAAACAAGCAACCACCCCTGAGAGCCTGAGACCCAAAAAAAAGGGTTGTAGTACGTACGTATGTACGTGTAATATGTATGCCACGGATCCGGATCCGGATCCGGATACAAAAATCCAACCTCAAACCCTTTGGGAGCGATGGGTTGTGGCAAATAAATTTCACACATATTTGCACACTCGTAGGGGCCCAGCAAGGTCGGCCTGGTTGATTGTACTGGAAACATCGAACAAGTAGGAGAGCGCCCCTCTGGAAAACGTGGAAAAAATTCCACAAGAAAATATACAACAATAAATTTGTTATTTAAGATAAAAGTAAATAGGCTTTTTTGTTTTAAAGCTTCAGCTGATTTATATCTTGGAGTGAAACAGGAACTCGAGAGCTGGGAAAGGGTTGCTCTTCTGCGGGTCTTCTGACATTCGATCCGAAAAAAGCAAAAGTATAGAAGCCTTCATGGTTCATGGTGGCGGTTTCTCTTAGATCATTGATTGACAATTGGCTAATGATTAGGGGTTGAACCAAAAAAAAAAATTAAGCCACATGAGTTAAAAAAGGGTAAGGGAAACCTTTAAAATTATCTTTCAAAGTCATGGCATTTTAAAGGTGTCGCTGGAAATGTGTCAGGAAATTGTCAGGTAACAGGTTACACTCTACTCCTCTTGGAAGCTTATTTATGCCATTTCGTGTTGCCTCTGTATTTTTGCATTTTTGTCAATTTGCCGCGAACTCAAAACTCAAGTCATTTTTCAGCTTCAGAATGGATGGATGGTTAGATGGGGAGGTATGACTGGGAGGTATGGCTGGCAGGTAAGATGATGTAGCAACGGTAGCCGGCTGTCACATTTGCCGCGACACGATTTCCTTTGACTTTTTCCCCTTTTTTTCTTCTTATTTCTTATTTATTTCTATTTTTATAAGAAGGAAGACAGGTTCCAAAGAAAACCCCGACAATGTGATACCCAGTACTCCTACCGATAACATCTTTCAATAGCAATACTGAAATACCTCCCAAATACCAGGTATGAGAAGTCGGTAGTCCTCCTTTGACATTCACTCGCATTCCTCCCAATTGTGTTATAAATTCAAAAATGAATAACGCACGCTTGCCTGTGGTTTAAAATTCTATTTTATTTGTATTGCCCACTCTTGCCATGGCTGTTCGTTGTTAGTCGTTATTCGTTATTCGTTATACGGTTGCCTTTGTGGCTAAAATGCTTTCACTCTTTTCAGCTTCTGGCATAGTCTGGTCTGGGCCTGGCTTTTTATTCCTTCATTCTTGGCTCAATTAAAACATTTTTGCAGTGACATTTGTGGGGCTTGGTTTTTTTTCACTTTTTCTATGATTATTAAAAGCAGCTTAGGGATTTCTTTCTTTTTAAATAAATAACTGAAGGTTTCTTTGAGAAAAAAAAGCACCCTTCTCGTCGCTTCTCAAAAAGTTTAGCTAATAAATCTCAAACATATTTGAGAAAGGCTTGAAAAAAATACTCTTTTTAATTATATACAATATTTTAGAGGCTCTAATGAAACTCCAGACTCTGAAAGTAAAATATTTATTACCGGGAATATCTCAATCATGAGAATTCCAGCAAAGTCTAAGGCAACCGGCAGAAGTCAGAGCCAGAAAAGTTTCAAAAACTGGAAAATCCATAGACAAACGGCATCAGAATTTAATTCAATTGCAAATCCCATATCATCCCCACAAAGTTGAGAGAAACATTCAATTATGAATTCTGGAGAAAATGCTTCAAAAAAATAAACGAAAACAGCACACATACAGGGAAAAACTAAAAAGGAAAAAAAAGAAATATAACAGAGGACGAAAAACTACAGAAAGCTGTTTTATTTATCCAACATTTGACTTTGAAATGATGAAAAAGCTAAAGCAAAATGCTACAAGAAAAGCATGGAGGTTGGGGCTTGTTCCCGAGGCCTTCAAAGTCTGTGGGTCTGGGTTGAGAAATTTCATTTGGCCCCGGCATTGTAAGTCACATTTTTTTTATGTACATTGTGATGGTACACTGATGGTTGCTTTTCCAACTGATTCCTCAGCATTTCCATCATTGATGGAGTTTTCTTTTTGGTTTTTTGTTATAGTATAGTATACGCATGCTAATTAAATTTCAGCTCGGTTCTAATGTTTTCTCGCTTTCTTGTCATTTCAGGTACTTTGTATTTTGTCGTACAGCGTTACTGGAACAATATTTTCGGTAAGTAAACGGAATCGGTTTGGTTTTATGGCAGTGGGGCATGAGATAGATCTGAGAAAACCGTAGTGGAATTTCCAAAATGATAGCGTTGACATGAAAAACTTTTTCCCCTCATTTCGTGTCATCACCCAGATTTCGATTCGATTTTATTGTGTTTTGTGTCGCAACCCAGAAATCGGCTTAACGGCCCAAAAACAGACAAGAAATTTGAAGAGCAACAATCCCAACGAGAGATGCCTATCTTTCCGTAGTCCCCCCCATTCCCAAAAAAATAATCCCCTGTCTCTGGTTTTTTATTTTTTGTTGGGTGGCTGAGGAGGCGAAGGGCTCCACATCTTGGCTCAATACTTCTGATATGCATCTTATGTGTGGCTTTTTATTGTGATTGTGGGTAAGAGGTTTTTTTCTGGATTTTCCGTATCAAGAGATACAAAGGCATCTGCAGCTGGACAGCACTCTCTGTGAAGCGTTTTGTTTATGATTTGTCAAAAGATATTTTTGGAAGGCCAAGAAAATGTGTTTTAAATTGTCGGCCAAAGCCAAAAAGAAGGGCTGTGGGATAAGGTATACGGTGAGAAAGTGGGAATAGCTAGGTAGTTGATTTGTGAATTTTGTTTGGATGTTGGAAGTATCTGTGAGGTTTAAAAAGGTTTTTTTTTGGAAATATATTTATTTATATTTTAAAGAATATTTTTAACATAAAGTATCTTCAAAGTCAATCATTTAAGAATTTTAAAACCCTTGCAGTGGGTATGACATTTTTGACCCGATAAACTATATATACTCTTGCTCAACATCACTTGTACTAATAAATATTTAATAAATAACCCACAAATATTAATACAAGTTTACAAAAATATTTTAAGCTAGAAAGGTAGCTTAGACCCATATACCCAATGCATATGATAGCCCTTTCTTTTCATAAGAAATATATTCAAAAAAAATTTTTTAAAATATTTAAAAGGTATCTGTAAAGTTTGGAAAGATTGTTATACTCAACAAAACTATCAAATTTGCGTTTTAATTTAAAAATAAATTATATATCCAGTACATTTTTGGTCAAGAGTCAAAGTACATTTTGATCAAAAGTATTTCAAAGTATAGTAGTGATAATAAGTAGTTTGTGGAAATTTACTTGTACTACAAAGACCAAATGAGTTAAAAACTAGTGCAATATTAATACATTTTCCAAAACATAATCCCTACTTGTTCACCTCCCCGGCCCCCTGGCCGAGTCACAAAAGTGCAAGTGAGGGCCCCCCCTCGTAGTGCTAATAAATTCACCTTTTACCGCAAAATATTGCCCGACATTTGCAAAAGACAAACAGTCTCTGGCTGCCTCGCTCGTGGGCGTAGTGCCAACATAAATCTCTTCAACAATCTGCCAGATTCCAGGCACCCCCTCCGCTCCGGAGTTTCCTGCTCATCGCCCATCACCCATCACCCCCACCGGCTCCTGTTTTCCCGGCTGGCTGTTGATTTTTGTCAACCTAATACAAAAGGCAAACAAAATTTGTGTTGGCATTTGGTTAGATTTGCCTGAGTGGGTGCTCCGGGTGCTGGCAGATAGTGGGTGGAAATCCGAGGAAAAAGTCTACGGGTTCATGGGGGCAACTGGGCAAGTGGGCACTGGGGATTCGAGTTGATGAAGGAGGCCCGGAAATCAAATATTCGATGAGTTGTATGAATTACAGGTACAAGGCAAGCCTGGCGGCCAGGGCGGCCTGGGAAGAAATATCGAGGCGATTATCGGGTGTTGAACTGCGGTGGCCCAACTGACCCCAGCCTGACCCCTTCACAGCAAATTACTGGCCTAAACCCAACTCAAAACGAGTCAGGTTCTGTGTGTCAATTCTCCAGATATTCCTCCTCGAGCCCGAAATTGAATAGAATTCTTTAAAAAGAGCAAACATTTAAAATATTATTTTTTAATAAATATTCCATAAATTTTTACTCTTCAGCTATGTACATTTTCACACTCATTTCTTCTTCTCAAATATTTGTCCAATTCGTTGGAAAATGCATTTCACTTTCCTCGAGTGTTTGTTGTTATTTTTGAGCTATGTTGGTGCAGCACCCCGCGCCACCCCCGCCCACCCCTCGAGGCTATTGTTTGTGTTGTTGCAGCTGCAATTGGCCACCAAGTTGTGGCACACATTGTTGGCATCCAACTAGTGCCACTGCCACTGTTGCCATGGCTGTTGCTCTCTTTATTTTGGCAAAAATGCTTCCGCTCGAGTGCTCGCCTTGCCCTCCCCGGCCCGACTCTAGCCTCTTGATTGCCACGCCCCTTTTTCAGTATGTTAATTAAAGTCATTACGCAGAGGACACCACCGCAAACAAGCGACCGAAAAGGAAACAGCAGGTGCACTGTGGGAAAATATTTAAATATTTAATATTTGAAATTTTGATAGAATTATTCAATTTTTTTTTACAAAATTTTAAGTTTTTTTAAGAAAAAAATATAGTTTTGGAATATCATACCCGGTACTTGAATTCATTTTAAAACAGTTAAAAAGATTTATAGAAAAGTATTTAATTTTAAATCTTAAGCTTTTTGTAATAATTCCATTCCATTCCTTTTAATTCACTTTTAATTAAAATACATTTTTTGAGAAATACTAAAATTAAGAAATAAATTGTTTGCAAAGAAATAAAAATAAGAGAACTTACACCCTTATTTGGTTAAGTCAAGTACCAGGTTCTTAAGTAAATATTATTTAAATAAGTTTTTAAACACATCCATTGCCGTATTTCTTTTATAAAATAATTTTGAAAAATTAAGGAAATTTGAACATATTTATTATTCGAAACTCTTTTAAATATTAATAAAAAAAGAAGTAAAAGTTATTTTTGGTTTTAATAGTACAGGATGGAAAAGGAATACAACTATTTTATTTCGCTTCTTTATTTTCAAACTTTAAATGAATTTAAAGTGTTCCCGTTTCTTTTTGCAATTGATAATATCTTAAAGCGTGTGTACTTAATACTAAATGAAACTTAAATAATAAATACTAAATTTTAAATGACTTTACAGTAGGTAGGGTAAAAGTATTAGACCTTTAGGAGTAATAGATTAATATACTAATTTTTGATTAAAATTAAGAACAAAATGTAAATAATATTGTAATAAGCTTCATATGTTATTTAACCAAAATTTCTGTAAGGTTTTGCAAAAGTATCGTTTTCAGTTTTTCTTGATAGAAGTTGGTTAAAAATTAATGGAAACTAGAGGAAAATCTAGGAAAACTAGGTGCAAAAAAGGACTATATAGCCCGAATTGAATAGCTCTCTTGTATATTAGACTATACGATACCAGGTGCTTCTATAAATAACCTCCATTAGGGTATATTTGTTCACTATTTGATTGGAAAAAGGTAATTTTTTTAAGGAACATCTTAATGCATTAAATCTCAGTGAAATCAAGTTTCTAGCAGTGTATGTAGCTAGTGCCTGAAAATTTGTAGTAACCCTCCTGCCGTAAAAAGAAGGGGTGAATAGAGTGGGTGGTGGATGGGAAGCGGTCGCACAAGCGTACTCTGCCAACAACTACAAAGTGAAGCCAAACGCTGCGCCAAATTGGCCAATTTTCATATGCATGCCAAGCAGGAGAAGGCTCAAGGCAACAGGACGAGGACCAGGACGAGGACCTGGAACAAGAGCAGGACCAAGACCAGGGCGGTTGGGCTGAAAGGAAAATCTCCTCTTTTGCCATTGACATCAATGAATAATTTGGGGTTTTGTGGGAGAAGGGGAAGAGTGTGCTGACGCCACGTGTCAGGGGCATTGTTGAAATAAAGAAACATATGAGATGTGCCAGCACTGAGAAAAATCAGAAGGCGCAAATCCCCTCCAAAGCCTAGTGCGTGCCTCATAGCTTCACTTTATTTTCTCTCAGTGCTGAGCAGCGGCCAGTGCCATGCCATCGAAGGTCTCTAATGATGGCCAACATGCGAAATGTGCTAATGACAAACCAACTCCAGAGTCCTGCCGAGGGGTCCTGTGGCCCTAGACCCAGGCCAGGACCTGTTGCCAGCCCTCTGTCTCTGGCACGCCTTGAGTTACTTTTGCTTTTCAAATCGATGCTTTCGGTGCAGTTGGGCTGGCAGAGTGAAGCAAATTAAATTGCAGCATGAAATCGAATTGCCGTCAGCCAGCAGCTGAGGCATTCAAATAACGTGGCCAGCAGATAGCTAGCTGGAGGATGCCGAGGTGTATCCATAAGATACATATTCAATGCTGCTGCCAGCTGCCGGTTGCCGGTTGCCGGCTGCCAGCTGCTGCTCCTTCAGCTTCATTGCATTGGTTTGGAGCGGAGGCGTCCGAAGATTCCGACTCTAAATTGCTTTTGCCAACCTTGCCAACCATGGCATGCGTTGGCTAAAAAATAGACATGCCGACGAGCGACTAGAAGGCGAGATACTATAGTTCAACAAAGTGTTCGATTAAAATGGATATTTTTATGGCTTTTGCATTTGAAAATTGCATTAGGCAAGTGCTGGCAAGTGTTTTCGTTGCCCAGATCGCTCTGGTCGGGGTCAGACTTTAAGGGGTTATATACCTTCTTTGTCGAAGAAAATGAGCAAAGTTCGGATTTTTTTTTAGGTATGTAGCAATTATTTAATTACACTGATGTTTTAATTTTTTGATAGTACACTTTATTAACAATGTTTGTGCAAAATTTGGTGGAAAAATATTAAATAGTTTTTAAGGGGTGGCTGTTTCCCTTAGAGGCCTCTTTTTTTTTCGAGCCTTGCGGTGACAGTTCCCCAGGTCAAACAGGTCAACTTAAACCATAAAAGTAAAAATATTTCATTAGTTTAGAGTAATCTCTTGTGCTTGAACGATCGATTTTAAAATTTTTTGTTTTTGTTTGGATATGGCAGCGTTTTATGCTAAAAATAAAAGTTTTGGTCTCTAGAAATTTCACTAAAAATTTATTTCGCCGAAAAAAAGTTTGCGCGTGAAAAGTCGATCGTTCAAGCACAAGAGAATTTCATTACGAACATTTTAAAAAAATTTGAAGTAAATCGGTTCAGTAGTTTTCCGCCAATCCATGTCACCGCAAAGTCATTTTTCAAGAAACACCATTTCGAGATATTCGCGTTTAAAGTTTCAAGTTCAGTTCAAGGCCGCAACAAGGCGTGCGATTAGGAGCGCTGTAACTTTTTTTCTACTGCTCCAATCTCTATGAAAATATGGGAGAATGTTCTCAAGGAGTTGTTCTTCAAGATAAACCACTAAAAAAATTTTCGTTTTTTTGAAAATAAAAAAGGTATATAACCCCTTAAGAAAAACTCTATAAATTAAAAGAAAATAACGTTTCCCATTCAAAAAACCCGCCCGAAACTAGTAGCATCATCAATGTTGCAGAATCATTTCAAAGATACATAAATGTTTTATAAATCCATGGAAAATCTTAATTGAAAAATTCATATCAATTGGCAGTGCGGATGCTTCGTTGTTTCCATTTGGAGTTATGCATTTTGTATTACTTTCTATATGGGTTTTGTATATTCCATTTTTTTTTTGCAATTTTTTTAAGGGGAGTTGAACGCCAGCTTGGACCAACTCAATCAGGCGAAATCAAAATGTTGCAAAAATGCAGCAAATAAACGGGCATATTGTTGTCATTGTTGCTGCCTGTTATCATGGCTTTGCTTATTTTTTTGTTATATCTTTTTGTTAGTCGAACTTTTGTTGGCAACGCCTCGACAAGACCACAAACAACTCGTTAGAATTTGCATGTGAAATGCAATCGGGCCAAAAAACCAACAGCGAAAAAGAACAAAACTAGAATGGAGAATAGAATTCAGGCCCAAAACATTTTGCAGCTCTGGTAAGTGGAACTGGCAATACTATACATCCACGGGGCAGTGGAAATTGGGTATTCCCAGTGCCACAAGCAAAATAAAAAAGAAAGCCAGAAAAACGGCAAACAGAACACTAAACATCCGACTATAAAGCTATAGAGCGGCAGCGACGGATGGCTATCAATTTGATATATCAATCAGAGTGAGGAAATAAAAATCCAACCGTAACAGAAACAGAGCCAGAACACGGGTACGGTATGGAATGGAATGCACTGGGGAGGGCTCGGAATTTAGATTTCATTTTTTGTGGATTTGATGGGCGCTGTATATTTTTATCAAAAAGCCATTAGTAACAGCATTCTGTCTCTCCTTAAAAATCATAAACTGCAACATATAGTAGCCCAAAACTAGGCTACAAAATTAATACAAAAAATATTTAATACTATTAGAACAGATGCTAGCCCAGAACTTGGCTAGACTAGAATTATAAAAGATGATGAAGGTATTTTTGATGATAGAAGCTTGGGACTTTCCTTTAGATTTTTTATTGTAATAAATTGGTTATATTATGATATTCTCATTAGGGTCGACCAACTATATCCGATGTTTGCGATATATGTCCGGTTTTAGCTGCAAGGGTATATCAACTTCGGCTCCGCCCTTTCTTGTTTTAAATAAAAAATGTTTTTTCATATTTTATTTTTTTTTTTATTTTATTGGGTGTTATTATTGTGGAATATATATCCTTATTAAATATATATATTTTTGATAATGGACACTTTTTCTTTTTAATTAACAAAAATTACAATTAATTATTACATTTATACATTTATATTAAATATATATGTATGTATATATGCACAAACATAAATTAATAATAACACAACTTATTCGATGCATTTTTGTATAATTTTTCCCATTTCCTAAGAATCGCCGTTTTCTTTTTTAATCCTTTCTTCGGATCATCATTTTAAGCGCAGTGAAGTATGTAGCACTTCTATTAAATGAAAATTAATTAAAAAAAAGGTTTTTTGATATTAGTCAAAGTAGTTAAAAGTTTCTTTTTGGAGATAAAAGAAAATATAAAGCGAAAACAGAATACATACCGAGGTTCGATCCACCAGCCATAGCCTATTTCCTTTGCCAAACTACGATCGGGATATCCATCCTCATCTCGATCCCAGGTGGAAAACTTGACTTGCCTAAGGTTCGGCAATATGCCTCCAGTACACCCTTTGGTATCTTTCACCATGTAGCCTTCGCTTTGATTCCCAACGATAAAGCTGTCGCATTTGTAAGGATTCATTCTTAACTCATAAGAGTTTCTAGATGTCAGGAGGTGCAATCGTTCAAGTCCGATAAAGTAATTATCGTCCCACTGCGTCCCGACATCTCCGATTCCTCTTTCAAATTCCTCATACGTGCGATTAAAATAATTTGTTTTATCCCAATGGTTATAAACAATCAGCCAACCAGAACCAATCTCCTCATCTGAGTAACAGACCACTTTAAACGGATCTGAACCTGGAATTTGGATTTCTTGGATGATCTCAGTTTCATTTTGGCTTTGCGGACACCGATCTGGAATAGCTAAGGTATTCGATGTTTTATATTTTGCCAATTATTGGGTTCTGCCAACTTACCTTTGGAGGGTGGAGCTTGTTGCTGGACTGTCCTGGTTGGTAATGGACTGGCTGTTCCATTATTCGAAGTTTTATTTTTTACTATTTCGCGCAATTTGGCAATGTCGTCGCGAAGTATTTTTGTAGCAAGTTCATTTGTTTTATTTAATTCACTTATTTTATCTTTTAGAAATTTGATCTCCACATTTTTTGAACCAATTTGAGATTTTAGATTTTCGACTTCAATCACCTTCCTGTTTCGTAAGTCTGAATAGCTTTCCTGCAAATCTGAATACTTTTTCTGCAAGTCGGAATAGTTTCTCAGGGACTCCAGACCCTTTTGCTGCAACTTTTTCTGCAACTCTGAGTTTTCCTTTTGGAACTGGGATTCTTTGGCCTGAATCTTCTCAAAGTACCTCAGGAGGGGCTTCACGATCGGATGACAGACCGCCGCGCAGTCGTCCTCCTGCTCTTCAGTGAGATAACAAGACTGTGAAATAGAATTTAAATTAATTTTCAAAATAAAAACACTCGAAGCGGGTATTACTTCCTCCGATCCCAGGGCGACGGTAATAAAACAAATCGCAGACAAGAGCACCACCGGCTGGACCATTTTCGTACTTTTAAGTTTAAGTTTAGTTTAAGTCTTTTAAGTTTCCTCTTGAAAAGCCACCGGAATAATTTCAACTGATGCTGCGAGACTCTCGGCTCCGGCTTTTTAAATCATCCTAGAGCTTGAGCTTGCCGATAAGAAGATCAGTCTTCATGCAGGTTCTTTCTTCGGAATTGTGGCGCTGAGTCCAAAACAACCCACAGACAGAAGGTATACGGATGTGATGTCAAAGGTTGTGGGAGATTAGTGAAAGCTGATTAGCAGCTTTCTTGTTTAGCAAGTACTTTTATATAGATTTCCATGACGTCATAGTCACGTTATCTCTGACAATTAAAAGTCTAGCTTAACTTATATGGAATGTGTGATTATTAATTAAATAAATAAATAGGCGATATACAATTATAAATTGTAAAATTGTTTATATTGTTATAAATAATATTAAAAATATGTATAAAATAATCCGTCTATTACTCTTTGTATTATAGTCTCTTTACTCCTCGTAGAGAATATAATTGGGTGGGAACCCTAAAAGTAGGCAACAAAATATTAAAGAGGCTTGAAAAGTACCTTTCGTCCTTGAGATCGACTTACATGTGGAATGTCTGCCTGCAGGATTATCTCGGACACACGCCGGGGCCTCTCATAAGGGGAGCCATGCCCTCTGATTGATTTATGTTTCTCGCCCTACACGGAAAAAAACAGTGGTCGGAGGGGGGAGGGGGGGAGGTGGAGCAGAGCGAGTGGCTCTCGTCACTAGCTTCTTCCTTATTTTTTCTTCGCTCGGCTGGCTCGTCTCTCCTTTGACTGTTAATGGCTTTAATGCTGTTTTATGGCATTTCGTGGAAGGAGGAGGAGAACTGGCCAGTGGCGGGGGGCTTGGATGTGGGTGGGTGCGGCCGTAAGATGTTGGCCGGGGAGAGGGGAGGACCTGGCATGCCAACGCCAAATGTTTTACATGCGTGCCGAGATGACACTGAAAATAATACTACTTAATAATTAAATTACTAAAAAAATAAAAAATTAATAATTAATAAAAAATGAACTTTTTAATATTTATAAGGAATAAAACGATGATGTTTTAATGATTATTTAGTTTTTATTATTTAAGTAGTTCAGATAATTTCTTGATCATACAATTACTTAAAGTTTTTATTTTTTGTTCCAACATATATATATATACATATATATACATATTTATTTTAATTAATTTTTAACAAGAAGCTTTTATTTATCCATTGAGAGGTATTATTTAAAATTCAAAATCCAAAAATCCACTTTCTGTTGCAATTGCAAACTGGTTCTGGAACTTTTTTTTATGAAATTTTTAATAAATAACGTATTTCAAATAATTTCTTTAAACTTTTAAGGCTTTACATTTTGTTTTAAGTTCTTTTCCGCCTTCCAAAACTTTAATAATTAACAAGAACAAATATTTAAAAAAAATAATTTGTTGTTTTTCTTTATTTCTTAAATATTTTCAAGTCAAAGTTCTTAAATTAAGAGGTATTTTTTAAAGTATATTGGGTCCTTAAAATGATTTTCTCATTATGTTCTTTTTAAAAATAATCATTCTTTTAATAAGTTTCATTTTCAACAATTTTTTTGATAAAATTCCCAACTTGTTGTGGAAGTTCTCTTCACGGATCTTGACAGGCAGATAAAGTCGAGAAACTTGATAATTGTTTCTGAATTTCTGAAAGGAAATATCGCTTTATGTCTTTTACTTTATACCTTAATGATTAGCAGAATAGGTAGATAATTTTTTCAAGTGCCCCACCGCCTGCCACTTAGTGTGGCAACAATGTTTGCGCATAAATTGGAATCGACTGCGGGTGCGGGTTCGGGTTTGGGTTCTGGTCCGAGTCCGAGTGCTGCGTGGTGCACATAATTCCAGCTTTTATTTGTGGGATTTTGGCATGGCATGTCAGTCATGCATCTCTGCCTCTTGGCCAGCTTGCCCCACGTCCCACGCCCCATACCTCGCCCTTGCACTATTCTACAACGCTGATTAATGGCTTTTCGTATTCCCCCAGATGATGCTCGTCCAGCTCTCCAGTTGCAGTGGTCGCTTTTAATTCCAAAAAGTCACTAAAACCCAAAACGAAATTAATATTTTGAGGACGAAGAATAGTTAGCCGAGAGCGGTGTACGACAAACCCGGAGACATGTATCCAAGCGGAGGCAGTGGAGCAGCAACGGCTGCCAAGTTCCAGAATCGCTGCGGTTCGCCGCAGTTCGCCAGCGACTATCCGCATCCGCATCCGCATCAGCATCCGCAGACCACATCGGTGGCCATACACACGGCGCCGTCGGGCGGCGACCGCACCACCGGTGCTGTGAGTGGTGGCGGGTCCATGAGGTCGGCACAGAGGGCCCAGCAGATGACCTTGAGCCACGGTCATGGCGCGTCGCACAATCACGGCCTGGGCATGGGAATGGTGGGCCACGGAATGGGATCACATGGCCACGGCCACGGCCATGGACACGGGCACGGGCATGGCCACTCGAACGCCGCCACTCTGGGCCACCCGCACAACCACGGGATGAGCCATGTGGGCTCCCACCTGATCTATCCGGACGACATGGACAGCATCGAGTTTTGCATGCCGACACCGCCCTCCTCGTCCGCCCAGAACGGCCTCGGCGGAGACCAGTTTCTGCTGGGCAGCGGAGGACACGACGAGGCATTCCGCTACCAGGAGCGCTGGCAGAGGAACTACAGCCGGAGGAGCAACCACAAAATGGAACAGCAGGTGAGTCCGTGCTCCGGCTGGGAGCTAGCAGGGGGGTTCTGGGGAAAATCAGGGGCTAATGTGTGTTCTCTATTCCCCAACCAGGTCAAGTGGTCACGCAAGAACATAGCCGCCACCATGGAGCGCTTCGAGCCGACGCCCAACACCCAGAGCTCGTCCTCCACCTCCTCGCTGGACTACGGATTCGCGGCCGGAGTGATGACTCCCAGCAGCAACAGCGCCACGCCCTCGCACGGCGGAGGCGGCGGAGCCGGAGCCTCGAATCCCTCGCTGCACGTGGCATTCAACGGAAGCGGTGGCGCCGCCGGAGGATCGGTTGGATCGGGCTCGGGCTCGATAGGATCGGAATCGGGAATAGGCGCCGGAGTCGGTGCCGGGGCTGGGGTCGGGGTAGGAGCCGTGGGCGGAACAGCTACTGCGGCAGCGCCCTTCAACCACGTCTACTCGTACGCCTACTACGAGCCGGGGGCCGCCAAGTGCCACACGAACGTGCCGGCCCAGGGATCGGCAGGGAGCAGCGGATCGGGCTCGGCATCCGTGTCCGGATCGGTGCAGATGCTGCCCCGGCAGCCGGAAAAGAGCCCGCCCCGGAACTCGATACGGGCGCTGCTGGCCAAGAGCTTCCGCTCCAAGAGCAGCTCCACCGGCCACGGGCACGGCCAGAGCACCTCCAGTTCGCCGAGCGCCGAGGAGCGCGACCGCCACACGTATACCACGCGGTACGGCACGACGGAGAACCTGTACGAGGAGGTGAGCGACCAGAAGATCCGCAAGGTCCTCTCCGACAACCGGATCGCCAGCGCCTCCAGTGTCGGCAACGTGAAGGAGGAGCAGCGGCGGGTACAGAACAACCACTTCCGGGTCCTGGACGAACTCAACCTGTCGCTGGAGGCCCTGATCATGCCCCCGACTCCGCCGGACATCAGTCCCAATCATGCCGCCGGCGACGAGCCGAACATAGCCAGTGGCGCAGTCGGTGGGGGCCATTCCGTGTCCACCACGGCGGTGGTCACGCCACTGCCCTCGTCCGCCGGCAAGATCAACCAGCGACCGCGGCGCGGCGGCCTGCTAGGTGGGGCCTCGAATGCCGGGGGCGCCTCCAACTCCAGTTCCGCCTCGCACGCCAGCCTGGAGAACCTATCGAGCACCCTGAACAGCATGGAGTTGAAGGATCACGGCCACAGCAGCTGCATCAACCCGGAGTTCGACGAAGGAGACCTCGACTCCGGGTTCAGCGGCAGCGGCAGCAGCAGCGGCGCCAGCTACAACGAGAGCTTGCGGTACTACAAGTCGGCCACGCCCACCGGCCCCATGCACCACCAGGGCCTGCACCACCAGGGCATGCCGCACCACCACCACCACCACCATCACTCGCTCAACAACAACACCTTGCCGCACAACCTGAGGAGCTGCCGATCCTCGACGGCGTCGGGCACCTCCACCTCCAAGAGCAGCATGGCCAGCTGCGGCGAGGACCAGGGCATCGGCATGACCTTGTCGGTAGGCGGGGGTGGCGGCGGTGTCGGCGGACCGGGCGGTGGCCTGCCGGAGTCTGGTGGCGTGGCTGGGGGTGGCGGCGGCGTCGGCTCCCTCTCGCCCTTCAACTATCCGCGACGGTGCTCGGCGGATCAGCAGCGCGCCTCCGGCAGGTCCATGGGAGGCATGACCGGAGGCGGCATCATCAGCGGCATGGGCGGTGGCGCCACCACCATGACCAGTGGCAGCAACGTGGCCCTGTCCACTGGCACGAAACCCAAAAAGAACTTCTGGACCATGAAACCGTGATGCTACAAAAAGGCGCTGCGTCACATTTGCAAGAAATGGACTATTGTTATGGTGAGTTCTTTGAACATTTTTAAAAATATTACAATTATTAATTTAAAAAAATTAATATTACAAAAATAAAAATTAGGAAACTTAAGCTAGAACTACGTAGCTCAGAAGTAAACCCCTTTTTTGGATGAAATCCCAACGTTTATGGGCTCCGGTTGGTGGCTTCAAGACCCAAACTTGATTGCTTTTTATGGCCGTTTTGTCATTTAAGATCATCTGGCATGATTATCTTTATCATCGTCCCAATAATTCCCACCCCCACCATCCACCCATCCAGCAGTCCCTATATCTTTCGCTTGGTTTGGACATCAATTTCAACTTTTCAACTTTAATCATAATAAATCTGCGGCCCCGTTTTCGTATATAGTAGAGTAGTAGAGTAGAGCTCCGGCCGGCTCCATTTCACAATCAACGAGATACTTCCGTTGGAAGGAGAGCTAACAATTCCGAGTGAGAGAGACGGCCATGCACTGCACAGATTCCAGTCCCAAGTCCCAAGATAATAAATTTATTAACTCGCCGGGTAGCTGGTGGGGGAGGAGAGGCCCACAGAAAAACATCATCATCATTATCTGCAGAGAAGCGGGCTGAGAACCTGATTCATCCCTTCCACTCAGCCACTCTGCCACTGTTCCACTGTCTCACTCTTCCACAACAAATGAATCAATTAAAACTGATTGAACTTCATAGATTTTTCAAACCCACCCACCCATCCAACCACCAACCACCCCAACCGCTCGGACACTATGCCCGAAATACAAAAAAAAATTATACTCAGTTGGAAAAAATTCATTTATAAACGAAACTGGGCTAATCCGCACATGCTCCTTGGGAGGAGTGTGGGAAATACCAGAGCCTACTCGAAATACCCACGGCCGCACATATGCCCCCATTTTTATACTGGTCACGGGGATTATCCGGAATCTTCGGAACTTCGGAACGGAACAGACGGAGAAGTAGAATCCAGCAGCCGGGGGGATCAAGTGCGAGATGAGGGCGCGTCAGGAGTACAAGGGAGCAGAGCGAAGGCTATTAGGAAGCCTGTTGAAAAGTCTAGCAGATGAAAAACAACAAAAAAGCGATGAAATTACACTGAGAGAAAAATAAGAAAGACTTCCCTTATTATAGGAGATAAAACGGAAAGATATAAAAGATGGTAGAAGGAATATTAAAATTTGAAAATGATGATCTTGGTAGCTCACAAAGTGTAGCCCATTTTAGTCCCTAACTACTTGCCCTTCTAGCTTACTTTATTAAAATCTGTTAGGAATTTTTAATAAAAAAAACTAGTTATCAGTAGTACTAGTAAGTCCCAAGTTACCATAAAAAATAGCAATTTTTTTAAAGCTTAACTTAAACTTATTTAAAAATACAGAGATAGGTTTAAAATTTTAATATAAAACAAGCAACATATTTTAGAAAAGATGTACAAATTATAAAATAAATAAAATATATTCCTTTTTTTATTTATATTAAAAACCTTATGGAAATTAAATCAAAGATATATTAAATATATAAAAATGTATTATATTATATATATTAAATATGTAAAATCCTACCCGATTTTCTTGCTAAAAACCTAAGGTTAGACGTTTTAAAAGAATTAAGTTAGAAATCTTTGTTTAAATTCAAAGAAAGGCCTGTATCTTTTGTATGTAGTTTTAAAATGATTTATTAAGTTTTTACTTTTTTAAATTTATGTAAAATATTAATGAAAATTAGCTACAAAAATTTAATATGTATGATTAAACTCAATTAAAGTTATCTTTGATTAAACTCATAGGAGAACCTGTAATATTAATATATAATATATATTTTTAAAATGATAGAAATATGTAAATATTTATATATTGATATAAGTTATTATAAAAATAAATCCTTAGCTAATCCCTAATCTTATCCTAAAGAAAGCGATTTTTTTGCGAGTGCCTTTGCCCAACACTGCCTCCCCCATTGCATCTTGCCATCACACCACAGTAGCACCCCCCAGCCGCCCACCCTCTGGCCATGCCCTTTGCTGGGTGTGTGAATAATACCGTTATTCATTGCATTTTGTTATAAATCTGTCAATTTGCACAATTGTGCGTACGAGGCGGCAGCGATACGAGGCTTCATTCTCCATGCAATTCGACAGGGCTGGCTCTCTGCCCATCCGCCAGCCCAGGGGGATGCTGCAACAGTGGAGTGGCTAGAGGAAGAGCAACACACTTTGGCCCTTCAGGGGGCAGGGTGGCAGGATGGCAGGATGCGGCCAACAGCCAGGCAGCCAGGCAGGCAGGGTGGCAGGAAGGGCACATGTGTGTGGCAGCCGCAGGGTGAACACTATGGCTCTACTCTCGTATCGCCGGCGACCATAAAAAATCTGTTTGGAAATGGCTCCGAAGGCGGTATAGTCGGTCTAAGAATAGGGTATCACAAAGTTCCATAGAAAGAGGGCTTTCCCTAAATAATAACTAAAGTCCAAGCTTTATTAGATTTTGCCAAAAGAGTGGCTGGATATCTAATCCAGATTTCCCTATAGGGTATCAGTAGCTTCGTTACTTGCCCTGCCAGCCAGTGTTTATTTGGGCATTCGATGTTGTTGCCGTTGTCCGGGCGTTGATTTATATTCGAAACTGCGCCGAGGCGCAACTAATTTGCCTCGGGTGTTAAGTAGCATGTGAAATAAACGCAATGCACTGAAAAGCGAGGGGAGAACAGGGCAACCCTAGCCTGGCCGCTGCACTCATTCAATGCCATTTGAATGAAAGAATCAATGAATGAATGTCTGAAATGCGAGCAGCGAGTAAGTCTCTCACTGAATGGTTAGTTGCCTCAATGGATGTGTGTGTGGGTCTTTGGATAAGGATATATACAGGATATATGTAGGCATATATCCTTATTCAATCGCCACTTGCCAGGACTAGGAATGCCATTCACTCGACCATTCACTAACTTTTATTCACTTCCCTGCCATTCAAGCTAGTTTATTGGCATTCACCTTGACTCAAATGATGAAAGGAATATATTTCCTTAAAAAAAAAAAGAAGGCCAAGTTTAAAGATTAAAACTAGATGCTCATGAGAAACGATTTAGATAAAAGTAAATATTTAAGAGATACACTCATCAATAGCAACCATTCAAGGCATTTCATTTCGGGTACTTTGGAATAAAGTTTTTGGCTGAAAGCCCAGACATCTCATCATCATCAGCATTGGCATTGGCATCCTTGACCCTCATTCTCGTCCCCATCCTGAGGCTCTTTTTTCCGTTTCCCTTTGCCAAATAATGATATTGTATCCCTTCTTTTCCCTACACTCGCATGTGACCCGAAACTCTTGGTCTCTGGGCAACTCTATCTGCCAACGATTTGTGCACACTCGATTTGACAGTCAGTCAGTCAGTTTCCTGAAGTTACAAAAGTAACCCTATCCTGAAGGAATCCCTCCCTCACTCTGAGAATCGTTTAAATGTTGCCAACAATAATAAAACATTTTAAACTTGCGCCGGCTAATAAAGAAAAGGCAAGAGAAAAAAAAAGAAAAACGAGAGGAGACCCGGAAGCGAATACAGAAAGGAACAGGAAAAGGAACTCGGAATGAAATCAGAGCCACATCAAAATGGGGGAAAACGGCAAAATGGGAAAAGCGTCTGCTGTTGCTTTTGGGCAAATATGAAAATGGATCTCTGAATGTTCCAAGGAGCGACGATTTAGGGTTTCCCCAACTGGACAATGTGGCACTCAAAGAAAATCACTAGAATTTTTGGGTTTTCATGGAGATTAGTTGGAAGATCTTAACTCGAAAAGAGCTAAAACTAGAGTTAGAGGGAATTAGAGTTACAAAAATAAGATTAAGATTAAAAGCATCCTTAAAATTATTACTTCTTTAAAAAAGCTGGAATGAATTGGGAATCATAGTTTTAGAAAAAAAAAATATTATTGGAATAGTTTTATTAAGAATTTTCAATATATTTATGAAACATGGAATAAGTTTCAATATCTACTAGACTTTAAAGCCAAAGACTTCGCTGCCAGTATATACCCACTAAGTTAGTTTAGTTTTGTTAACCTTTAATTATAATTATAATAATAACATTTATGAAACATCGTATTGATTATCATTGATTATCATGAATATAAATTATAAAGAGCTAGAACTAATTGAAGTATGAAGATTATAAAAATTACATTAAAAACTTGAACCTGATGGATAGAAAAAAAATGCAATAAGTAATGTCACCATTAATCGTAATCGTAATAATACATAATAATCGGATGTGTATTTTTAATAGGGGATTTAATTTGATCAAAACTAAGTTTTTTTTTAATTGATATTTTTATAAATGGCAACTATAGGATATTAACTAGATTTATAAAAATTGATTTATTAGTCTTCAGTCTTGCTGGATTCAATAAAGCAAACCTTTTTCAATAATCGATAAACGAACTGAAGCTTTCACTAGTTATAATATCAAATAAGTTTGAGAAGCTATATATCTCTTAAAAAGTTTTAACCCATCAGGAACAGTAACGATTTTTTTGTTATATATTTTAAATATTTCAAAAAAAGTACTTTTATTTCTGTCAGTGCCCTTTAGAAGTATTCCGATAAGAAATGAAGCCAAAAAGGATTGCGGTGGCGACGACGAGGAGAAATGGGGGACATATGCGAGGAAATCGGGCATAAACATTCACTTAGCCATATAATAAAAAGCCAAAGCAACAGCAACACACAAACAGCCAAATGCCCAAATGAACAACATTTCTATTTAAACAAGTTCGTCTTGGGGAGTGGGCTGGGCACTCAGAGTCTATGGGTGGGGTGGTTGGTGGGTCAGAATTCAGGACTGCAGGGAGCTTGGAAATTTGTCAGAACTTGGTGCCCCCGGCTCCTGGTTGACTTTTTCCAAAGCGAGATTGCGCCGGACTGATTAAAAATTGAATGATGGAGGCCTCGAGACGATGACGCTCTCATCGAAATGGTACAACTGCGCCAGGGGGCCAGACTACACGGCAAAAGAAA